GCTTCCTGGCTTTCATGAACTTTATGTTATATGTGGAAGGAAATCATTCTACCTACCAGTCTGTGGGGCTAAAGCAGTATCCTTTTAATAATCGGTACCTGGGACAAGGCACTGATCCCATCAAAGAACCTGAGCTGGTGGTTTACTATGAGATATAGGGCCTTCATGAGCTTTTGTGCCTTGTACGTAGGACTCCTTCATTCCTAGAAATTTGACTTTAGTGAAATATTTAATAAAACCTAGTGCCATAGAAAACTATATACATGTATATGTACATACATAGTCTTTTCTTACTTTCTTATCCATTCTGAAAATCTCTGCCTTTTAAATGGGGTGTTTACACCACCTACATTTAATGCAATTATCAATTTGATCATGGTTTACGTCTATTTTGTTATTATTTGTTTTACATTTATGCCATGTGTTCATTGTTCTTCTTTTCTTTTTTTTGGTCCTTTTTTAAACTTTTTAAAATTAAATATCTTTAATTTTATCTTACTATTTATTCCTCCTTGTTTTTATTTTTATTTATCTTTTCAGTGCTTGCTGTAAAATGTGCAATAATAGTCTTCAAATTTTTTCCTACTGTTCTTTGTATTATTGTCATAGAATTTATTTTTGTTATAAACCCCATAACACATTGATATTACTTTGGCATAATCAGACAGCTGTTTTTTTTAACAAAATAAAAAAATAGAATGAAAGTATTTTATTTGCTTACATGTTTACTATTTTCAGTTCTCTTTATTTCTTAATTTATATCCAAATTTATTTCTTGTGTTAGTGTCCTTCCTCTTAAAGAACTTCTACATCAATTCTTATAATGAAGATGTAATGGCAGTAAGTCTTATCAACTGTGCTTTGACTGAAATATATTTACTTCATCTCCATTTATGACAGATGTTTTTGCTGGATGTAGAAATTTAGGTTGGCAAAAGTTTTTCAGAGTTTAAAAGTGTATTTTCTCTTCTCACTTGCCTAGATTCTAATGAAAAGAGTACTATCACTCTGATCTTTGTTTCTTTGCATGTAATATGTACAGATAATTCAAATATTTTTCAGATCATCTCTAGTGTTCAGCAATTTGATTATCACATGTCTTTATCTTGTATTGTTTGTGCTTTTTTTTGTTGTTTCATTGAAGTACTTGGATCTGAGATTTATTGCATTTGTAAACATTTTGGTCATATTTCTTGAAAAAAATTTACCCTTCCTTCTCTTTATAGGACTCCAATTACATAAATATTAGACCACTTAATATTATCCCACATATTACTGAGACTTGTTTATTTCTTTTCAATATTTACTCTCTGTTAGAGTCACTGTGAGTAGTTTCTACCATTCCATCTTCTAGCTCACCAACCTTTTCTTCTAAAGTGTCTAATATGCTATGAATCTTATCCAGTGGATTTTCTATTTCAGATATTGTTTTTATCTCTAAATTGTTTTATTTAAAAAATATTGTGCATTCCTCTTCTATTTTTTTTTCCTTTACATATTTGAATATAGTTAAAATAGTGGTTTTAATGTTCTTTTCTGCTAATTATACCATCTTTGTCACTTATGGGTCTGTTTCTGTTAACTGATTTTTCTCTTGGTTATGGATCACATTTTCCTGCTTTCAATGTCTAGGAAATTTTTATTTGATACTGGATAATATGATTTACATGTTGTTCAATATCTGGATTTTGTTTGTTGTTTTTCTTTACCTTAAAGAGTAAGGTTTTATTCTGAAAGAGAGTTAGGTTTCTTGTGATTCAGTGTTATCTTTTTCAGCCTTGTTTTTAAGCTTATTGGGGTGGGTCTACCATAGCCTTTATTTTAAGAGTCATTGAATTTTAAATAAGTTTTATCTTCATTAATAAGTTTTTAGGGATCTTTACTGTAGGCAAAAAGTGATCAGTGAGGATTCTCTATTCTGCTTGAAGGTGGAAACTTCCTCTATATAAGTAAGCTCTGGGAACCATTCTTCTCATAGAATCTTGGTTACTCTTTGACCCAACTCACTAAGTTTAACTCTGCACATGTGAATTTTAGTATTCAGAAAACATTCAAGAGGATATTGATATGGTTTGGCTCTGTGTCCCTACCCAAATCTCATGTCAAATTGTGGTTTCCAGTGTTGATGGAGGGATTGAATGGGGGGTGATTTAATTATGGGGGTGAATTTACCCCTTGCTGTTCTTGTGATAAAGTTTTCATGAGATCAGTTTGTTTGAAAAGTGTGTGGGACTTGGCCCCCATTCCCCTGCCCACCATGTAAGACATGCTTCTTCCCTTTCACCTTTTGCTATAATTGTAAATTTCCTAAGGCCTCTCCAGCCAAGCTGTACAGCCTGTGGAACCATGGGTAAATTAAACTTATTTTCTTTCTAAATTACCTAGACTGTGGTATGTCTTTATAACAGTGTGATAATGGACTAATATAGAAAATTGGTACTGAACAATGGGGCATTGCTATAAAGATACCTGAAAATGTGGAAGTGACTTTGGAACTGGGTAACAGACAGAGGTTGGAACAGTTTGGAGGGCTGAGAAGAGGACAGGAAGTTGAGGGAAAGTTTGGAACTTCCTAGAGATTTGTTGAATTGTTTTGACCAAAATACTAATAGTGGTATGGATAGTGAAGTCCAGACTGAGGAGGTCTCAGATGATGATGAGAAACTTACTGAGAACTAGAGTAAAGGTCATTCTTGCTATGCTTTAGCAAAGAGATTGGCAACATTGTGACCCTGCTCTAGGGATCTGTGGAACTTTGAACTTGAGAGAGATGATCTAGGGTATCTAACAGAAGAAATTTCTAAGAAGCAAAGAGTTCAATAATGTGGCCTGGCTGCTTCTAACAACATATGCTTATATGCATTCACAAAGAGATGCTCTGACATTTGAAACTTATTATTAAAAGGGAAGCAGAGCATAAAAGTTTGGAAAATGTGCAGCCTGACCATGTGATAGAAAAGAAAAAAACATTTTCTGTGGAAAAATTCAAGCCCATTGCAGAAATTTGCATAAGTAAAGAGGAGGAGCCAAATATTAATAACCAGGCAATGGGGAAAATGCCTCTAGGGCATTTCAGAGACCTTCACAGTAGCCCCTCCCATCACAGGCCTGGAGGTGTAAGAGGAAAAAATCATTTCATAGGCCAGTCCTGGGGCCCTGATGCTCTGTGCAACCTCAGAACATGGTTCCTTGTGTCTCAGCTGATCCAGCTCCAGTTATAGCTAGAAGGAGCTAAGGTATAGCTCCGGCCCTTGCTTCAGAGAGTGCTAGGCAGCTTCCACATGGTGTTGGGCCTGTGGGCATACAGAGGGCAACAGTGGAGACTTAAGAACCTCTGCCTTGATTTCAGAGGATGTATGGAAATACCTAGATGTCCAGTCAGAATTCTCGTGCAGGGGCAGAGCCCTAATGGAGAACCTTTACTAGAACAGTTCAGAGGGGAAATGTGGGGTTGGAGCCCCCACACATAGTCCCCACTGGAGCACTGCCCGGTGGAGCTGCGAGAAAAGGACCACCGTTCTGTAGACACCAGAATGGTAGTTTCACTGACAGCTTGCACCATGAGCCTGGGAAAGCTGCAGGCACTCAACGTCAGCCCTTGAGAGCAGCTGTGGGAGCTGAGCCTTGCAAACCACAGGGGCAGAGCTGTCCAAGGCCTTGGGAGCCCACCCCTTGTATCAGTGTGATGTGGATGTGAGACATGGAGTCAAAGGAGATTATTTTGGAGCTTTAAGATGTAATAACTGCACTACTGGGTTTTGGATTTGCATGGGATCTGTAGCTCCTTTGTTTTGGCCAATTTCTTCCTTTTGGAAAGGGAGTATTTACCCAATGCCTGTACCCCATTGTATCTTGAAAGTAACTAGCTTATTTTTTATTTTATAGGCTCATAGGCAGAAAGCACTTGCCTTGTCTCAGATGAAACTTTGGAGTTGGACTTTTGAGTTAATGCTGTAATGAGTTAAGATTTTGAGGGACTGTTGGGAAGGCATGATTATGTTTTGAATTGTGAGAAGGACATGTAATTTGGGAAGAGCCAGGACAGAATGATATGGTTTGACTCTATCACCACCCAAATGTCATGTCAATTTGTGGTTCCCAGTGATGGATGAGGGGCCTGGTGGGAGGTAATTGAATCATGGAAGCAGACTTATTCTTTGCTGTGCTTATGTTTGATTTTGCACAAGATTGGTTGTTTGAAAAGTGTGTGACATTTCACCTTTACCCCCACCTCCTGCCTACCATGTAAGATGTGCTTGCTTCTCCTTCACCTTCTGCTTATAATTCTAAGTTTCCTAAGGCCTCCAAGCCATGCTTTCTGTGCAGGCTGTGAAACCATGAGTTGATTAAATTTCTTTTCTTCATATATTACCCAGTTTCAGTTATGTCTTTATGTCAGTCTGAGAATGGACTAATGCAGACATCTATTCATATTTTTGTAGTTTTTTTTCTGTAAAGGTTTCTTCTCTTCAGAACTCTAACACAGAACTTCCAACCACCTCAACTTTATTTAACTCCAGTATCAAAAACTCATCAAGACTACTCATACTTATGATGTCCTTCTCTGCCGTGTAGTCTAGAATGTCTTTCAAGAAAGACAGGGCACTTTATAGGAATCATCTCTTTTGTTTCTCTTCTCCCAGATATTATATTTATGTACTGGCTGCTGCCAAAGATCTGAAACCAATGATCTCATGTACATTGTATTGTTTTTTAGTTATTTACATTGAGAGAGTAAATTCTCCATGCTCAAAAGTGTTAATCTTGTGTGCCTTATTTCTAGAAGTTTCCTAGCTTATCCAGATGCACAGTCAGGACTGGGAACCACTCAGAAGTTTTAAATTTTATATTAATGGCGTCTAAGATGGGTGGATATACTGGTGGATGAAATGAATGAATGGATAAAAAGTTAAGTAGATAAAAGGGTTGGCTATATGGATAGGTAATAGAGTCAAGTGTATAAGTACCTATTTATTACCATGCATTTTCTCTGGATCCTTTTGCAGAGTATATACTAGTCTCACTAAGCCAATAGATTTCCCTGGATCCAGGCTTGGAGAAAACAATGGTTTCTCTTCTCTATCTGCAATTTTCCTGAAGCCAATTCTGACAGATATTAAAACTGTGTCAATCACAAAAGAGGAACAGAATGGGCTTTAAATCCCTCCTTTGCAGCCATCCAAGGCAGGTGCTACTGGAGAATGAAGGGTATGTGATGTTTTAAAGTACAGATCCTATCTCCCTTTACAGTATTAAACCCTAGATTGCTGTTCTCTGATTGACTTTACCATTTCTGTTGTTGTTGCACTGCATCAGAATGATCTATCTAGGTTAAAATTCCATTCTGTCTTACAGTAGCACCAAAGGACTAGCTAAACCATCTATGAAGGGATTCTTTGAAGGAAACTGATAGGAATAGAACAGTGAATGAAACAGACAAAGCCCCGCCCTTCTGGAGCTAACATTTTAGTTGGGAAAGACAGACAAAAAATTGATTTTTTAAAAGGAAATATACAACATGTCTGATGGTGAGAAATGCTATGGAGGAAAAAATAAAGCAAGGAAAAACGAATGAGAGTTACAGAGAAAGGCGATGTGTATATCTGTGGAGGCTACTATTTCATGTAGACTATTAGGAAAGCCCTCAGTGATAGAATGACATCTGAACAACTGTCTGTAGGAGTAAAGAAGCAAGTCATGAGATTTAATGAGGAATGATTAAAGCAAAGGAATTAGGAGCACAGGCTCTGAGGCAGGAGCTTTCTTGATGTATTCAATTAAAAGAAAGCCAGTGTGGCTGGGGCAGAATAAGAGAGAGACAGGGTAAGGAGGGATGAAGACAGAGAGGTGATAGAGCCAATCACATGGGGCCTACAGGCCATTGTGAAGGCTCTGGCTTTCATTCTAAATGAGATACAGAGCTCTATTTTATAAACCTTATTTGTAATATAACATAAGGTTTTAAGAAGTTGACTTTGGCAGCTCAGTTGGTAAATATGGGTAGTGATGGAAGTGAGGAAATGCAGGATCCAATAGCAGAAACAAGAAGATCATCTGGGGGTTATAATAATCTGAGTGAGAGATAATGCTGGCTTGAACCACAAGAGCTAGCAGTGAAGGTGATGATAAGTGATTAGACATGTCATCAGACTCTGGATATATTTTGAAGATATATGTAAATTTGAGTGATACATGAGAAAAAAGAGGAGACTAGTGTGATAAAGATTCTGGCCTGAGACAATAAAAGGATGAAGTTGCCAGTACCTGAGTTGGGGAAGATGTGAATGCAGGTTGGGAAAAAGAAAGGAGCTCAGGTTTGGACATGAATGAGACAGGTGCCTATTAGATGACATTCAAATGCAGATGTTAAGTGGCAGGTGGGTATACAAGGCTGGGATCAGAGGCGAAGTCTGAGCTACTAATACAAATTTAGGAGTTCTTGGCAGAAAGATGACACGAAAGTCATAAAACTGGATGAGATCATTTCAGGAAGACATGAGTGTAAATAAAGTCATCTGAGGATAAAGCCCTGGCTGTGTAACCGTTGAAAGCATGGGGCTGATAAGGAGAACAAGGAAAGGAACCTGAGAGAGACTGACCAGGCAAATTTGATGTTCTAGAAGATTGTTTCACCTAGGACAGAGGGATCAATCATGTCAAACACAGCCGTAGGGCAAGTAAAACGGTAAGAATTGACCACTGGATTTAGTGACATGGAGGTCATTGGTAACCTTGGAATGGGACAAAATCCTTCAAGACAGAACAGGAAGAGAGACTAGAGACAGCTGGAATAGATTATATTGTAAAGGAGAGCATGTGCCAGTGACTAGACTAGATAAGAATGCAGGTCCAGGATAGAGTTTTTTGTTAAAAAAGATAAGAATATATTTGTATATTTATGATAATATCCAAGAGAAACGTCAAATTTCATAATGTAGAACAGAGAGGGGAGAATTGTTGAATGAAGTTCTTGAGTGGTTAGGGAAGATATCTAAAGTATAAATGGAGCACTGGCCTTGTATAAAAACATGGAGAGGAACAAGAGGAAAGGAAAAATGATAAGTTCAGATGCAGGTGGCCAGAGGTAATGGTAACATGCAGAAGTTCTCTTCCAAATGCTTCTATTTTCCTTGTGAAATAGTAAGAAAGATCATCAGCTGAGAAGGTTGAGAAGGAAGGGGAGCACTACACACTGGGGTCTATTGGGGGGAATGGGGAGGGACAGTGGGGGGGGAGCTGGGGAGGGATGGCATGGGGAGAAATGCCAGATGTGGGTGAAAGGGAGGAAGGCAGCAAATCACACTGCTACGTGTATACCTATGCAACTATCTTGCATGTTCTGCACATGTACCCCAAAACCTAAAATGTAATAAAAAAAAAGAAAGAAAAGAAAAAATCAACCAGTGATGATTACCTCTCAGGTTAAGTATTGGATTGACATGATGGTGATGTGAATAGTAACTTTTACTTTTTACTCTCTTATTTGGAATTTATAATGTGTATGTATTTGCAGAGTACTGTGTAATTAAAATTATTTTAATTAAAAAAAAGATGCATAAGAAGAGGCCTCTGCCCAGAGAAGCTCTCACTCTATGGCGGGAAAAAAGACATACATACAGCCGGTTACTACCATGATGGGTAAGAATATGAAAATTTGAAAAAAATGCTGTGTAAACACTGAGCGGTAAGTGATCAACAGCGCTTTTGTTTGATCAAGTGAAAGTTATGTCATGTTATCTTCATGTAGAGATAACATTCTCCAGGCAGTAATAATATCCTAGGGAAGAGAAATGACATGAGCAAATGCTCTTTTTTCCCTTCAGGTCAATAGGAGTATTTTAAGCAGCACTGTATTGAACATCCTGGTAGCAAAATCTTTACTCACATCCTTAACTATTTCCTTAGGATAAATTTCTAAAAATGGAATTTCTGGGTCAAAAATTCATTTATTGGCTCTTGATGTACTAAGAAAGACCTCTGGATTTCATAATTAGAAATTTTATGGATGATTAAATAAAATTTTCACAAGTAATTCAGTTTGACCCGTAAAGGGTGGGGGATATTCTGGATTATGGCAGATAAGACCACAGAGAGTAGTTTGAATAAGATTGTTAGGGAATTTCGAAGCATTAGTAAAGATGTTGGATTTTATCCAATGGAAAATAGAAGCCCTCAATGTCCTTAAGTAGAATGAATAGCACTGTTTGTGCTATTAGGGACATAACTTTTGGGGCCATTTGGAAGATGAAGCAACTTCTAGCAGACAATCTTCTAAGGTCTGATCCTTACTGGCTGCTGACTGCTCCCCTTCCGAAGGCTCCACTCTGGCCCTTCTCTGGCTATGACTTTCCCTATAAGGCAAAGGGTCTATGAAACCAAAGGAAAAGACTCACCAGGAGCCCATAGCCTTCCTTCAAGGCAATGCTTGTAGACCCAATAATTCCCTGCTCAAATAGTCTTGAACCTGCTTCAGGGGCTTGCAAAAACCCCTTCCCTGGGTCTATTCTCCTAAGGATGAATCTCCTGTATCTCTAGGAGAGGTAGCCAATGGGCCTCAGTTTTGGAGAGGTATGATGCAGCTTGGATGTGTAGGCTGGGATGTTTACCTATGTGTGCATGCAAGACATTCTTTGTGCAAGATGAAGCCAGGGGTAGGAAGAGAAGAGGGAGCATAACTGGAGCATAGCAGGTGCTGGTTCTTCCTGGGCCTCCATGTTGCAAGATGCTAGAGAATTCCAAATTGTAACCTGCCCTTCTCTCTTGTTTTCAATGTGTGTTTGTCAAGGTAGGGGTAGAACAATTGTATTTAATAGTATGTGAGCATAATTTATACATTTTAAATACAGTTATTTAGAAATATGGCATGTGGACCTTTATTTTAATTCTTGCTCTGAGCTCACCTGAGTGTCCCCCCACCCTAGATACCTTGTCTTGCAACCTAGCATGGTTTAGGGGCAGATAGTCCTTGGAATTTATTCCTTACGGAAGGAGCAAGAAAAAGGTTAACAATACCGCACTGGCTTTCTGCCTGCAGATGTGGATAGTGGCATTATTCACATGGACAGATCAAGTTATATAGCTCAGGGCTTTTTATTTCATGCCAAATTGGTGGGTTGACAGCACAAAGGAAGCTCTAAAAGGTCCTGGGCCTTTGCTACCTGTCAAAAACCCCATGCATTTGTGGTTTTGCATGGATGATTTTTCTAAAACTCTTATTTTGGTAAACCAATTTGAAGTTCTTTCTGACATCATTATAGTTTCCAGTCTGGCACAAAACAGTTGGAACTTTGCCACAGAAGTAAACTGTGGCCAAACTGGGATTCCACATGGCAGGATCTTATCAAGCTGAACATAGCATGTCACTTGCCCTCATGCAGCTCACACACATAGACAATGATAAGATATATGCTAAAACAAAAATACAAAGGGCAGTAAAGTAAATTCCAAACCGAGGGAGCCTCCATGGACAAAACCTTTGGGAAAGAAACAAGTTCTTGACAATCTGACAGGTAAAGGTGTTGGATAGGTGAGTGAGAAAAACAAACCAGGCAGAGGGAACAGTTGAGCCCAGGCATCACTGTGGCTCTGTTCAAGGGATGATGATTGGCTCAGTGCTGCTGTCACAGAGTGAGGGGAAGGAGTGGGTGAGTTCCCTGTACTAGCTCTGGCCCAAGGGGCCTTCCTATGAGGTATTCCATTTGCTGAGATGCTCTCCCCACTCATGTGCCACAAAAGTTTGCCAAGTATCTCATAGGGCTTCTATCTCTCCTTCATGACACCTATCACAATTTAATCAAATAATTAATGATGTTATTACTTGTTAACCTTCAACCCTCCTTTGCTAATATATGTACATTCCACGAAGAGCAAGATTATGTTCACCTTGTTCATGGCAATGTTCCAACTACTAAACACTGCATAGGCACTCTAAAAAACCTTTAGATAATGAATAAATGAACGAATGAGTTAATAAATAACATATACATTAATTAACAATGCATTAATTGATTGATAAAACTGAAAGAGTAGGTTGCAGTTAGAATGTGGAGGTACCTGAATGATTTTCAAATGAATTTGTACCTCATGTGCAAACAATGATATTTTATTCATTTCCTTCACAAACTTAAATAAATATCCACTTATGTGTTTATTTTTTTCCAGGCACTGTGTTAAACACTGAACATAAAA